AAACCGACCAAATCGTGCTTTTGGAGCCTCCAAAAGCACGTTTGGGCTTGTTCTGCTCTATTTTGTGACAGTGCAAACCTCCTGGGCAGGTTTTGCAACCACCAGAATCGTTTAATTTCAGGCTTAGGGTTTAGGGTTTGGTGAATGAGAAACAAGCAAAGAAAGCAGGTTTCTCCTTAGTTTGGTGCTTGAAACCGACCAAATCGTGCTTTTGGAGCCTCCAAAAGCACGTTTTGGCTTGTTCTGCTCTATTTTGTGACAGTGCAAACCTCCTGGGCAGGTTTTGCAACCACCAGAATCGTTTAATTTCAGGCTTAGGGTTTAGGGTTTGGCAAATAAGAAGCAAGCAAAGATAGCAGTTTTCTCCTTAGTTTGGTGCTTGAAACCGACCAAATCGTGCTTTTGGAGCCTCCAAAAGCATGTTTTGGCTTGTTCTGCTCTATTTTCTGACAGTGCAAACCTCCTGGGCAGGTTTTGCAACCACCAGAATCGTTTAATTTCAGGCTTAGGGTTTAGGGTTTGGCAAATAAGAAACAAGCAAAGAAAGCAGTTTTCTCCTTAGTTTGGTGCTTGAAACCGACCAAATCGTGCTTTTGGAGCCTTCAAAAGCATGTTTTGACTTGTTCTGCTCCTATTTGGGATGAGCACAAACCTTTTGGGCAGGTCTTGCAACCGTCAGAATCATTTAGTGTCAGGTTCAGAGAGTTTAGGGTTTAGCAAATCAGAAACAAACAAAAGAAAGCAGTTTTCTGCTAGTTTGGCACTTGAAACCTACCAAATCGTGCTTTTGGAGCCTTCAAAAGCACGTTTTGGCTTGTTCTGCTCCAATTTGGGATGAGCACAAACCTTTTGGGCAGGTTTTGCAACCGTCAGAATCATTTAATGTCAGGTTCAGAGAGTTTAGGGTTTAGCAAATCAGAAACAAACAAAAGAAAGCAGTTTTCTGCTAGTTTGGTGCTTGAAACCTACCAAATCGTGCTTTTGGAGGCTCCAAAAGCACATTTGGGCTTGTTTTGCTTTGTTTGGGATCCGTGCAAGCCTCGAGGCAGGTTTGGCAAATCAGGAAGTATCTTGTTTACTTAGGCAGGCCTTCCAGCAGCCCGTGATGGAGGCAGAGTCGATCATCATCCTTGTTGTTCAATGCTTCTTTGGCTTCATGAATGCAATCTTTGGCACGGACAGGCACCATGTCATAGACTGCTTCATGGCTTGGCCAGGAAGCCGTGGCCTCGGCTTTGCAGCTCCTTGCACATGAGTGGGGTCGCTGCAAGCAGAACATGTCACCAGAATTTGTGCCGCTGCATCTTACCGGAAGCTTGCAGCACAGCCCCGGCTTTAAGGACATTGGCCACCTTGAGAGACTTAGGTTCAAACTTACTACCTGCCACTTATTAGTTTGGCCACTGGCCATTTGTATGGGTTAGGCAAAACCTGTCGCCATGGATGCTTCGGGCACAAATGCTGGAGGCACCTCATGACGAAAATGATTGCTGCCAATTCAATCACTCCAAACCCATCGGTTTGACCCAAACAGCTCCAGGGTTTCAGGATTCACTCAGGACTAGCTGCCAACTGAATCTCCAAACTAAGTGCCTTCCCTGCCCTTATATCGGGATTCAGTCAATTGGAAGGTAGCTGGCATCTGAACCTCTGAATTAAGCGGTTTGTGGCAAACTGCTTTATTTCGAGGTTCAGGGGACGGTAACCTCGGGATTCAGTCGAACATGATCTAATTGTGTTGTAGTCTTAGACATGTTTCGCTTAAATCACGGGTTGCAGCTGGCTGAACCTTTCAATTCAGCGATTTGCTGCAAACTGGTTTATTTCAGGGTTCAGGGAACACCAACGTCGGAAATCAGTAGAACCACAGTCATGAAGGTTTCTCCATCCAGGATGATTATGAGGAAGAGCTGGATTTTGCTGCTTTGGGCCATGAGCTACCAGGCTTTCAAATCAGCGACACCGTGCCTGCCAGACCAGTGGCAGACCATGCAGTGCTGGAGCTTGGGTCAGAGGATGATGCTGCAAGCTGCAGTGGCTGGAACCCTGGTCAGGACGTCGGTGGCTTCATCTCCAGATTGCAAGGCAGAGCCAATTACACAAATTGCTTTAAACATAAGATATCAGTTTGTGTCCAGTCCATAGTTTGTGATGGCAGGCCTGGGAGTTCAGGCACAAGTTTTATTGGCGAACACGTACCTCAATCTCGGGAAGCTCCCGGCAGAGCTGTTGACACAGTTATGTCAGAGATTGGGAAACCGTGAGCAAGGTGTCCGTGTCCGTCCTCTGGTGGCTCGGGCTGCTAGCCATCTTCTGTGTGTCAATGCTGCAACAGTGACTTAGTGTCTTACTGGTTGATTTTTCAGACTTTATAGGATTTGTAGTAGATGTGCTATCATATGGAAGCCAAGAGTTTCAGTTCTGCTTTGGGGCTAGAACTCAGCCAAGGTGAGAAGCATTGTGAGCCGTCTAACACAAGCGGCCTGGACACCACAAGAACAATGCAGAAATTCTATGCAAAACACAAATGCGTCGGAGGAAGAAGAGTTTGCTTCAACAGCGCGCAAAAGCAAGCGCAATGCTTCTTCAATCACCCGTGTTCTGATATGGGAAGCACTTTTCTGTATTTCGCATGGAGAGTCCACAGACTTCTTTTTGCAGAGCCTGGCAAAGCTGCGCCTTTATCAGGTAGATGTGGGTGACAAATATGCCTCCAGGCAGTATCTGCAGCTGGTGGAGATGGCTTGTGGCCGACTCTTGCAGCTGCAAGATAGTCAGCAATTGCAGGATGTGCTTCCCGGCCTGAATGTTCAGGCTCCCATCTCCATCTGTTATGATGGGGTTTCCATTGGTGACAGCCTCTTCTCCCGCCAAGAGAGCTTTGAGATAGTGTTTGTCTTCAGTGCAAGTGTCACCACTGGTCAGATGCAGGCATTCTTCATTGGTTGTCCTTCTGAAGGAATGGACAAGACTGGTGAACGACAGGCCGACTGTGTTGCAAGGGCATTGGAGCAGCACCCTTGGAAGCTGGGTGCAGGCAACATCAGAGGCCGCCTGCTTTCAATGATCTGTGGGGATGGTGCCATAGCCAAAGGTGGGTCGGAGGCACGACACTCTTCGACCGGCTCCGCGAACATCTTGTCGGAGCGATTTTATCCTGGACAACACCATTTGGTCCAATGGGAGTTCTTTCATAGGTGAGAGTTTCCGAAAATAGGGGACCCTAATTATAGTACCCTAAATAGTGGGACCCTTGTTATAGGCACCCCAAAATCAGGAACCCCTCACTTTCGGAATCTCCCAGGTCAGAGGCAGCCTTTCGGCATAGTATCGGTGCTTCGGACCCAGCACAGGAACTGTTTGCACTGGCACGAGGAATGGCTCAACAGTTCGGCCATGGAACTGGCAGAGTCCTTCTTCGGTCGGTGGCTGATTTCTCTGCATCCGCTTCATCTGCAGCGGCAGACTGTGGTGGAACCAGGCAAGGAGAGTCTTTGATCCGGGTCGGAGGCAACCTGCTCAAGAACTATAAAATGTATGGCTTAGCCATACATGCAAAGATCTTTCGCAAAAGAGAAGGTCATGGAGCCACGAGTCAGACCAAGCTGGCCACAATGGGTCGGAGGCTCCTCTCGATAGACTTTGTGACCTTCTTGTGTTGCTTCCAGGACCACCTGTTCTGCATGTGTAAAGGGCTTCCAGGGGCAGGTTTGGTTTGTGGTGATAAGAGTTTTGAAGTGATGCCCCAATCGGTGTTGATTTGGATGGTCTTCTATCAGGGCATCTTATCTTGCCTTATGTGAAGCCGGCAAATATCCACATGAGCTTTAGTAGTTCAATTCCCCACATCTCCGAGCACCATGCCCACATCATCCCGGCAGGACCTCATGGTGTCCCAGCGGATCTTCGTGCTGAGCCTCCAGCATACAGCAGACGTCCCGTGGGCTGCCCAGAAATCCTGGCAGCAGAAGCAGGCCCAGGCAAAAGCAGACCTGGAAGACCTTCACAAGCTGAGGGTACGAGCCACCGTCATCTGCTTGCTACAACACTACTGTACACATGCCGACCTCAAGAGCCTCTGTGTGGCTTTCTTATATACACGACCTGGGCGTCGCTTCCCCACATTTTCGCGGGAGCTATTCAACATATCCATTCTGCGTGTTTTTGCTGATGTACAACTTCAGGTGAATGTTGACATTAGTCAAGACACAATGTGTGTGACACCCCGGTGCACATGTCGATGGCGAACATCACCGGAAGAGCACAGGAGGAGCCGGGTCCGAATGCAGGTCGGTGGCTTGGCAAACTTTCCTTGGCATGGGTGTTGTAATTCTTTATTTGGACCTTGAGTAGCACTGGGCTTGGTCACCTGTTCATCAGATGAAAAAAGCCGAGGTGGACGTTCAGTGTCAGTCTTCGTACCTGAGTATGTCGCCAAGGTCAAGATGACAAAAGCTGAAGCCCAGCAAGACTTGCAGAAGGACTTGGTGTCCGTGCCCCTGCGTTATGACACCTTCAACCGCCCCCCAGTCAAGTCGTGAAGTTGGAAGATGATAGTGTAAGTCCCTGCCCATCTGTTGATTGATTGATGGTAGGTCCAGAAACCCGAAGCTTCCACCCCTGAGGTCGCAAGTCCAAGGCTTGTCACTGTTCCACAAGCACCTCTATCAGTGTTCGACCAGCCGGTTTGTACCATATGCCCAGCAAATGGTGCAGCAGGGCTTGGCTTCTGTGGAGGGATTCCTTCAGTTGCTCATTGCAAGCTATGAGGAATACTGGCATGACGTGGGTGTGCCAAGACATATCAGCTCATTGAACGAAAACCTGGCAACTGTGTGGAACTTTGATGCCATGTCCATGCAGAGAAGCCCCGGGTCTGAGCATCTGCAGAGCCTGGACCATGTCTATGGTATTTTCAAGCCACGGCTGGCACATGTGAGGTGGCCGACATCCCAGGATTTCCTTCACGTGCAACATGTTTGGCCCGACCAGAAAGAGATGCATCGGCAGTATAAGGTGTTGTGGAACAAGGTTCATCTGGACCGCTCTCACTGTGAGTGGCGATCACCTGTGGAGTGTCGTGCTTCTTTAGTGCAGCCGCCAGCTATCCTCCTGACATGTCTCGGCAGAAAACTGCAGGAAGTGACACCAGAAAGAAGGTCGGTCAAAGCTGTCAATTTGACATGTCTGGTGTTTTTGATTGCAAGTTTCCTGTGGAAGCCACCCAGCAGCTTCAAAGTTCGACCAGCTTCAGTTGCTTTGCTGCTGCGTGGTGGTCGACTGGAGACTGGGGCCTTCGCTATGATGACAAAGGCACCTTTCAAGCAGAAACTCATCTTCATTTCTGAAATCAGTTGGTCCCTACAGCCTGCTGCTGTGGCTGCATCCTTTTTTCTGGAGAAGTCAATGCACCAATTGACTTCGAGAGCCACAGGTCGGAGGACTCATTGCTGGCATGCTGCTTTCTTGCTGTTGGCTTCTACCACTGCTCAGGGAGCCAGCAGTGTTTGTGAGAGGGTCGGCTCCCTCTTACATGGCCTCGAGAAAGGGGAGAGCTCGATCCATCCGGCCCGTGTAGCCGATCGACTACGGATCAGAGTAGCCCAGATGGAGGCAGGTGCGTGGGATACAGCATCCACAGACAGAGATTCTTGTAGTTGATAGCCCTAATTTATGTGCTGCCCTGCCAGGTGATAGGTGGTGCCCGAGATGAAGCCATTGTGGACACACTGGTAGAAGCTTTTCGCATTAAGAATCCAACGATTCAGAGGCAAGCTCAGCACAAAAGGTTTGAGCGTGGGTCGGAGGTCACAGGGAATCCAACCTTGGATCGTCGGGTTGAGTTGTCGGACCTCAAGGCCAGCAGCTACTATTTGGGTCCTCTGGAGCGATTGCAGGATGAAGAAACTGCTGTCGGCTTAGAGCATTTGCTGAAGCATGCGGCCGAGGAGCGCGCACGGTCTGAGGCGGTTCACAGACCAGTGTGCTTGGATGCACAAACACGCTCGGCTTTGATGAAAGTGGTGACCCAGAGACGTGGCAGATTGCAGGTCGATACTTTACCGGCCTTCGTGAGAAAAGGTCGAAATGCTGCCAAAACACCACTGCGATCTACCGGCCGAAAACAAATGGCTGAATGGTTGGAGTCAGAGGAAGGCCGACAATGGAGAGCTCAACGGGATGAACTGTTGCTTGGCTACTGTTTGGGCATACATTTCTGTTGCAGATGGCAGGGTGTCCTTTTGTGTTAACTTAACTTTTCGGACACCCAAGAGGTGGAAGGGCTTTTCCGCTCAACCACAAGAAGCAGCACATGTGAATGATGATTGACATGAACACTGTACAGTGGTCGGTCACAGCTGCTTTTGCAGCCAGCAATGCTGCATCGGAGTCTCAGTGCTCAGCAGCTTTTGCAGCCATGCATGTGACGTCTATTTGTTTCAGGCTGCTTTCAGCAACCAATGGGGCTTGCCAACTGCAACTCGTGAATGCTGCAGCCCACATGCAAAACCAAAGTCGTTGCAGCAGCTCTTTCTTTGGGCAAGGCCTTTGGGCAAGGCCACTCAGCATGTTGCTGACCAGAGTGATCATAACTTGTCCGTCCCAGGTGTCCAGAAACATCATGGAGTGGCCGGCCGGGTGCTTGTTCATGACACCCAAATTTCCGAAATCCGGATCTTCGAACAGGTGTCTGTTGTCACCTGCTAGGCTGGGAGGAGCGACGGCCATCTCATGGAGGGGTTCATCCTGCCAGGCTCTCAGTTGTATGATTGCCGAATGCCCCTCGGTTGTCATTTGATCATTATGTCAGGTCTCCTATGGTGCAAGACATGGAAGGATGGCTTGCCAGGCTCTCGTGTAATGCAACTGCTCAAAAGTGTCTGTGCAAATGCTTGTGTTTCACTATGCAGTCCCTGCTGATCCGAGCACCTCCATGCTGTGTTTGTGTCTCCCATGAGATTTTGGGCTCCAGGGTGCCTGCTAGGCTTTGGGCTGAAACATGTCGTTCGGGCAGCCTCCTCGTGTCATAGAGCGGGCCAAGAAGGTCAAATTGGATGACATTTCAGTGGCTGAAGGCTCAGGTTGGAGGCCATATGTTCTGTGTGTGTGTGGGTGTCTTCTGTAGCCCGGCTTGGTCCAGCAGAGATCATCAGTGTCAAGCAGGCCATTGGAGGAGAGCCGTCGTGACAAGATTGTTGATGACCTCTTGACAAATGGCATCACAGCCTCTACACGGTCCCAGCCACAGCTCTTCATGCTGGCAGATCAGTCAGGGCCTGCATTAGATGGTGATGAGCCTTGGCTGAGCAGGATCCTGCTTCATGGTTCATCTGTAAACAAATGACATCTGCAGTTCTTGGTGTGAGATTCTAGCATACCTCCGTTTTGGATTAATGTTTCAGGGACGAATCCTCATCGCCGATGGCCTCCATTTTATCAGTGCCTTGAAGAAGGCCTTCGACCGATGCCAACAAGAGACGGCACAAGGTGTTGCGGCCAGTACCACTTATGACCCCAGGTTGCTGGATGCATCTTGGCTTTGCAAGTACAGTCAAATGCATAATTGAGGCATCCTCTAACTGACCCAGCTCATGACTTGTGCTGATGATAAGGCTTGGCAATCTGGTATCTTTATTGATATGATTGCTTTCCAAGAAGACCATCCTGATGTCCGCTTCAGTTGGTTCAGTGCAGCCCATGATCAAGAGGCTGACAAGGCAAAGTCCACTAGTATAGTGCTGAAGATCGCCGTTGTTGAACGTGCAGTGCAGCTTGGCTATTTCTCAGGCATATCTAGGAGTAGCAGCTGTTCAGAAGCTTCCGGTCGTGTTTGTCAAGCTGTCCGGAAAAAGCATTCAGGAAACGCACGGTCGGAGGAGATCTACAAGCAGCAACTCAGCACCTGATCCAGCTACTCGGGGTCGGAGCAAAACAAAGAATAGGCAAGTGGACGAGGGCATGGAAGACCCTGGACCCAGAGATCAAGGATTCTTTGCACAGGCAGGTCCCTGTCATGTCTCATCTGTCAAGGCAATCTGGTAGGGCAACTCCGTTGCCCAGCTGTTCTTGTTCAGGCAGTGTGGTGGCTACTTGTGCTGCTGGCTGCAGGTATGAGGTTCTACCACAGTCATGGATATTCGATAACCTATTTCTTATGGGAGATGGAGCGCGGAAGAACATGAAACTGCCGAAGGAATTCTGCAGGACAGATGAGGTTCTGACTGAGTTCGCATGAAACTGTTTGTTCTTGCCTGTGGATTTTCAGCTTCTGTTTCAGGACAGCTCTGGAGATGGCAGTGAAAGAATCTTGGCACATCTTCAAACATTCCGAATGTTGTTCATCAGAACTGTGCATTGACAAAGCTCATGCTGGTGACTGGTCTTTGCTGCCATAGACTGCAGATGCCTCACATTCTGGCTCTTTGGCAGTTCCAGTCCGAAGACATAGCATCATTTCTAGCAGAACCCATGGAAGTCGAATCCAAGAGAGTGCAGTTTGTTGACAGAGTTCCGTTCCCCAGGCATAAAATTCTTCTTTTTCAACGGGTGTCAATATGCTATCCATATTAATTAAACACATTGAATTCAGGGATACAAGAAGTAGGGTTGCAGCCTCCACCATGTTGATTATCGACGACGAGGAGAATGGTGACTCACCTGATTTGGGTGCAGCCAGCGCGGCTGTGGCTGCTGCTGTGGATGATGATGATGATGATGATGATGATGCCTTAGATTTTGGCAAGCCGGCAGCTCCTGATAGGTCCTCCTCGGCCCGCCCGGTTCAGAAAACGAACACAGCATCGACGAGAATCACCGAAGAGGTTGAGGATGACTATGTTCCTTTATGCTTTGGTGCTGTAGGAGACTCCAAGCCGGAATCAGCAGCCCTGGCAACTGCAGCTCCAACAGATGTTCCGAAGAAGAAGAAGAGAAAAGCCTCCTCGTTGTCCGGGACTGCCAAAGCGGGAGGCAGCAAGCCGAAGCCTGGGAAAATGGTCCAGCGGGTGCGATCAATAAAGAAAAGGTCTGGTCAGAGGGAGGAACCAGACCCACGTTCTGCTTCTGATATCGATGCAGAAGTTCAGCAACTTTTCAAGACGGGAGGCCGGGCCAAACATGCTTGTGTGCCGGTGTGTGACATGGCAATAAGCTGTTGTGCTGAATTTCTATGAGAGGCAGAATCTTGCTGGAGATATTTTGTGGAGCAGCCATGATTGTCCAGGCCGCCAGAGGTGTAGGCCACTGTCCAGCAATGAAGACTAAGAATGAATGCAGTCCCATGTCATAGGTTTGTAAGGTTTCTGCATTCCCTGCCACTTCGATGCTGGTTCATTGCAACCAGTGCCCCATGCCAGAGGTCTTGTGGCAGTGGGCTTGGATTCCAAGCAGGGTGAGGATGTGACAGACCCGGCAATTTTGGACAAGATTTTGTCGTGGATCAAGGCGGGGCTCATACTGGCTGTGGCCCAGCTGAAGTATGCAGCACATCACAGAGTGTTGCATGGAAGTTCCATGGGTCATTGAGTACTCTAAACAGCCCAGTCCTTGAGTTAGGTATGGTTGTCACCGCCGTGCAACTCCTTCAGCCGGGCAAGGAGGGGTAAGAAGAAACGTGGCCAGCGCCGTGGATTTCCAGCTGCACTTCGCTCCAAGCAGCAACCATGGGGATTACCGGAGCTTGATATGACTGTCGCTCGGCGAAAGCTTCTAGTGCTCAGCAACGTTGGCATGACTCACAACATGTGCACTGTCACTCAGTTTGCTGAGCCAACTCCTTTTTTTGCTCATATTGCAAGATCAGGATCGTGACAGGTCAAAGGTGCGGATGGGCAACACATGCGTCAGAGCTGCACTTTCCATCATAGATGTGTGCTGTGGACACCGTGTTCCCGTGGTGCTGGAACATCCACAAACTTCCTGGATGTGGTCGCTTCCGGAACTGTCAGAGCGGATGGAAAAGACCAGCACACAGGACATTGCCTGTACAATGTGTGCTTTCGGGACATTGTACAAGAAGCCCATGAGGCTATTCACGTGGAACTCGACTTTTCAACCAGAGAACCCCAAGTGCATCAAGTGTAAACCGAAGAAGGAGAAACCCGGTCGACGAGGACCAGTTCTGTGCAGTTTTACAGGTAAGGCCCACAGCAGGTTGAGTGGGGCCATGTCTCAGGGAAACAAAAAGTTCAAGACCAGTGGTACCGAAGAGTACCCTGCTCCTTTTGCAGACTGGGCACTTCGTTTATTGATGGGCAAGACTGAGTCTTAACTGCGAGTTCATATTGGACTCGGGATTCAGCAGAAACTTGAAGGTCTGAGGCCATGGATGCTACACGGAAAAAGATTTCTCAGCTACTCTGACTGCCAGCTTCATTCAATCTTCCCACCTGTAAGCTTCGACTTGTTAAAAGCCTTTGACAAAATCTCTATCCAAGGTCCATGAGGATGGTGGAAAGGGGCTGAGCCTCGACAGCAAATGTTTCTGTGGCTTAGCTGCGTGTATAACTCATGGCTCATGTCCTGATTCCAAGGAGTGAAACCGCATTCAAAAAGGATATCTGTGCCCCGCTCGGCTACCTGGCCCAATGGCAGAACTATGCTATCCGCACGTTCGGCCAAGTTGCGACGGGTTCACCGGCTTTCGGCCGCTTGATCGAGACACTACAAACCCGGCAGGGATTTGAAAAGGTGAAATCCTGCCAGCAGTCCGGCACTGCGCTACATGGAAAATCATCGAGCGACATAGGCATTCAGGACCTGCTTCGAGGGGTTTCGGCGTAACATCATGTTTCACTTGCAGAGTCTGGGCACATGCTCCGTCATTATAAACAATCTGCTCGACAGGAAGTGAACCAATTGTGGCTCGAGTTCAAGAAGCAGAAAGCTGGTGCAGCCTTGGTCAGCAAGAAGCCCGAAGCAACCATGAAGGAGGAAGCAAAGGATGCGCCCACCGGTCAGACACAGACTGAGACGCTCAGCGATACGGCCACTGCCAGTGGCACAAGCATCGAGGTGGTCGACCTCTCGATGACGGTGCTGCCGGAGGAGCCCGAAGATCCGGTTCAGAAGGCAGCCCGAGAGAAGTCACATGCCGAGCTGGACCATGTCTTTATCCAAACGGACAAGTCTCTCCTCCTGGAGGCAGTCATTCAAAAGATGACAAATTCGTCTCAGAAAGTGTGCTGCATTATCGATGCTCAGACGAGCAGGGCCAAAGTGAGCTTGGACTATGTGGAGATATTCAGAAACTTTGTGGTCGGCCATGGTCTGACGCGCTACAGCTTCGTGGTGATAGTCGGTCAGAGGCCAGGCTTCCAATTCTAAGAAAGTGAGTTGGCCGATGGGACCCAAGCTTCAGCCTTGTCCAGGATTGACCTCCTTCATGCGGTGCACACCAAAGTAGCAGCTCTTTTTCGAGGGGACCGAGTATCAATGATCCAGATGATATCGGGATCAGTGATGCAGACTGCCAAGTCGATGCCAGGCTTCATGGTAGTGGTCCACTCCCTTGCCGCATGACTCTGATCGGATTTCCGTTTTGGTTCACCTGGTGAATTTTGTTGTTTCCATGGAAAAGACACTCAGGCTGTGCAAGCTGATATGCCATATGTGGTGAATATCTTGCGGCACAGGGCCACCCCGGCAGAACAGATCCGCAAGCGCTGCCTTCGACGTGACTGCCCACTTCGTGATGACACGGACAGGTCGGAGATGCTTCCGGAAGGTGCCCTAGTGGTCCAAGAGCAAGCTTTTTTTCAGAGGGCGGTCTTCTTCTGACTGAGTGTGAAATTTTCAACCATTGGGTGTTCTGGCAGTAAGGAAAAACAGTCCCGGCTAATCACGAGCTCCCGGAGGACGATCGGGAAACCGACCCGTTCTCCGTTGAGCCAGCCGATGAAGCAGCCACAGCCACATCGGTTCTTGAAGACGACACACCGCCGGGACTTCCCGGCACTGGCAATGACAATGATTCTGGTCCGAGGGATTACCTCATAGATCTCTGGCCTTTTGCCCGGCCGGTCGGTAGCTTGGCAAAAACAGTGTGTCCCAGGCACAATCAAAATCTTAACATCTCCTTTGTGGTCTAAGTACTAAGGCTACTATGAACAAGTGTTGGATGAGATCCTGAAGGCCACGGGCTGTCAGACCATTCTTGTTATGTCAGTGTCCGCGCATCCTGCTCCGTGGATTGCTGTGCGCAAGCTGCTGCATGCGGATTCCAGATTGCATTTGTGGAAATACTAAGCCCGAACTGAATGACGAAGCCTCGGAAAGAGACAGTTCTTAGCTCAGGACTGCTTTGTACTGGCAGACTGCTTGCGCCGCCATTCGATGGCACACGCAAAGGAAATTGCCCTGCAATATTTTTACCGTGTGGCATACAAGGACCTTGACAAACGCACAGGACCACGGAAGAGGCTTCTGGGCCAAGCGGACGTACAAGTGATGATGAGCCCACACATCTCGGGGCAACAGATCATCGAGTTTTTGGAGGTGCCCGTTGATTCCTCAGTGCCTTTTTCTGGTGTGGCTTGGCTTGGCAGTTGAAGCAGACTCTGCCTGTGTCCTGAACTTCTGATACTTCTTGCTGGTACTTCGATTCATTCCATCCAATAAGGTAGATCAAGTGCCCACTGACTTGCCAAAGTTTCTCAACGGCCTGGTGGACCGCGAACTGGAAAAGAACAATCTGTACTTGCAGAGCAATGAGGGTCGCGGCAAAGGAGTGTATGTATTCAAGCCTGTGCCTGAAGGGGAAACAATTCTTGAAGCTTCGTGCCTCATCTTCAGTGGCTGGCCGGCCTTGCTTGCATTCCTTCGTGAACATCCGGGTCAGAGTGATGCAGCTGCTGGGTGTGCAACTAGTGATGCCAAATTCGAATCAGACAAACTCTCTCCCAGCTTGCTCCAGCCTTGCTCAGGTCATGCGCCTGCAAGGAGTTCTCCAGTGTCAGGTTCCGAAGACGATGTATTGTGTGCTCTTAGGAGCAGCACGGTTTGTGAACTCATACCATGGAGCACGATCTTCTCCGAATGCTGAGTGGTGTCTCGATGCAACGAAGGGAGCAAACCCTGGTGCCCTAGCTGCATCTTCCATTGTATTTTGTCGGCTGATTTCCGGCCAATGCACACACTGTGCCCTGCAGGATGCCTCAGCCTGAAGGCAAAGACGCGCAACAATTGCGGCATCGGTGCAAAGTGTGAGGTTCTGGTCAGTTATGGGTTGGACTATGATTTGACTGGTGCCAAGCCACTCTCATGCACCGTTGTTTTGTCGCTATGTTATAGATTTTGACAATTCGCTATCCACTGATGGTGCATTCCGTTAATTCATTGTAGCTGGGCTCAGGAAACCACGTCTGGAATCCTTCTTCAAGGCCAAAGTCGAGGGCGAGGGAGTGCAGGATGGGAAGATGGAGACCAGGTCGGAGGCGGAAGCCGCTGCCAAGGAGACAGAGGAAACTCCGCAGGAGGAGAATCCTGGAGCAACACCAACAGGCAACCAGCCAGAACCCGTGGAGGTTCCAGAAAGCAAGCCAGAGCCCCCCACTGCCCCGAGCAAGAAAAGGTCGGACGAGGACGAAGAGAACTTGCAGGAGACGATTGTCAAGCATATCGATGATCCACCATGCGACTTCATTTTGTTGGAAAACGACACAACCTCAGAGTCAGGCTTCGGTCTCCGAATTCGGAGTATGGCCGATGTGAATCGGAGGCTGCCGAAGCACTGGCTTGTGTTCTCCTACCAACAGGGCAAGCTGATCCGTGTCAACAATGAACAGTTTCCGGAGGCATGTCTGAGGTATGAGGTGGCGATGACTGACCTGGTCATCGATATGTCTGTGACACCCAAGACTGTTTGCACGATGAAGGAGCTGGTGAAGACAAGCGGAGTGAGAAAAATTCATGGGTATAAGGAATTCCCAGCTGATACTGTTCCAAGCATCTGGGCTGCACTGCAAGTTCCGACTGTGTCCAGATTTGATGGCATTGGGTTGATTGGCTGTCATTTGTTTCTGAGGACAGTTGGTTGCAGATGGAAACCATTGCCTCACTGAATGTGATCCACTTCACTACAAGCTCGCTGAAGCCATGCAGGAGTTGACCAGCATCGGTCTGGCTTGGGGCTTTCAAAAAGCTCAGAACAAGTTGGTGCCCTGTGGCTACGGAGTAGTGTCGGTGAAAGGGCGTATCATGCAGGCAAAAGAAGTCATTGATTTTTTCACCTGAGAGTCGTCCCAACTGAGTACTGCAGCTGTGAAGCAGCAGTTGCGGAAGTGAGTTTTGCAGAGCACTCAGTGCAGGTCAGAGGAGAATCATGCAAGCACAAGAATGTTGTGGATCTTTGTATTTGAGTTTCCACCTTGCACTGACTGCTGCAGCTGTAAACACGGAAGTGAGTTTTGCAGAGCACTCAGTGCAGGTCAGAGGAGAATCATTCAAGCACAAGAATGTTGTGGATCTTTGTATCTGAGTTTCCACCTTGCACTGACTGCTGCAGCTGTAAACACAGCAGTGATTCC